CAGTTCCTTCATTATTATTGTCATTTCATTTTTTGGCTGAGAGATTATTTCTGATCTCATCTCTTCTATGGCCTTATGGAGTTGTTTCTTTACTTCCATTGCAATCATTTCAGCTAATTCAGGCATATGTTTACCAAGTTCTCCATGTCATTGTGTCCTGGACTTGTTCTGAGTGGGGTGGAGTTCTGGGATTGTGTTTTAGTCCTTCATTTTGTCATGTTTGCTACTGGATGCAGAAAGCTCAGTTTCCCTCTTCAGTAGCTGCACAGCAAAGGCCGCTAGTGTCCCTAGTTTTCCTATTGGTCAGGTTTGTCCCTGAATGACCTTGGAGAAGCACTACTTAGTCTCGGGTTTTCCGGCAGTTGTTGATTTGCATCTAGTTATCCCCAATCTCAGACATGGGCATTGGTGTCAGCTGATGGCCAACCGCCTGATCCAGCATCCCCTTGCAGTTCAGGGCATCTCCACAGCCCAGACTCAGGTTGCACTGGTATGACAATTCTGGTCCGGTGGACCTATGTCTCCAGGGAGTTCAGGGTACGGGGAAAACCTAGACACAAACTGCAGGGTCGACAGTTTGTGAACCACCTGATTCTGTGTCTCCAGTCAGTTCAGGACACATACAGGAACCAGATGCAGGCCAGCTGGGTAGCAATCACAGACTCCCCATGCCTGCGAACCCCTAGGGGTTCCAGGTGAAAATAAAGCATGGACTCAAACTGTGGGACCAGTAACTCTTGGAGCACTCGCTCACTCGGTGCAGGGTGTGCAGGGCAGGGCTACACGAGCTCTCCCCAGCCAGAGAAGTCCCTGGGGCTTCTGAGTGAAGACCTCCTGTTTGCCACAAATGCAGGGAGGGCATAGACTCAGTCTGTAATGGTGGCAGAGTCCTGGGTCACCCACTCTGCCCTCAGGAAGTAGATGGGAAATACCTGGCTCTCTCTGCAAGTTTCAGCTGGGAACCATTGCGGTGAGAGTAAAGCACAGACTTGAACCACGGGACCAGCAGCTCTTGGAGCACTTGCTCCCTCAGCACAGGGCATGTGGGTGCAGGGAGAGGCTACATGCCCCACCCCCAGCCAGAGAAGTCCCTAGGGTTTCTGAGTGAGGGCCTCCTATCTGCTGTGGGTGCCCAGAGGGCAGAGACTCAGTCTGTAATGACGGTGGGGTCCTGGGTCACCTGCTCTGCCCTCAGAAAGTAGATGGGAAATACCTGGCTCCATGAGTTTCAGCTGGGAACCATGGCAGGCTGAGTAAAGCACAGACTCGAATCGCTGGGCCAGCAGCTCTTGGAGCACTCGCTCACTCCAGAAGGCATATATTTCTAAAGCTATAAGAGGCCTTATACATTTAATCATGATCTTTCACTCTCCTAGGCAAAACTCAGTGTTGTAGATGAAGGGTGACTCATCAGCTTGGATCTTGGAATAAAGTTGATGTGGAATGGAGCTTATCTGGCATCATAATAGGTAAGTAGCATGAGTTAGGAAAAAAAAACTTGCTAGTTAAAAGCCACAGAGGTTTAGGGGTTGTTTATTATTGGGCATAATTTTGTCTATACTGATAAATACAACAACAAACCAAGTAAAAAAGAATTATGATTTAGTTAAGGTTATACATATAGGATAGGCATGCAGCTCAGTAATACAGTGTTTGTCTACCATACATGAGATTGGGTTCAGTCTTCACCACTGAAGGAAAAAAATAAACATCAAAATGTAGAGTAAATGAAGAATAAATTTCAAGTCAGTCAAAGTTTACTAGTAATAAATTAAGCCATGAAAATACTATATAAAAATAGTAATTGTCTTCATAAACTTAGAATGGGAAAAGGCTTTCTAAATATAACTCAAATTAAGAATCTATGAAAGCAGAGATTGACAAATTCTATCATATAGAATTTCTAGACAAAAACTGCCTAGAAAAATTAATAAGAAGAAAAAGAACTTGGGCTAGGTGTGTAACATATAGGTATAGCATTTTACTAGCATGTGTAACCCCTAGGTTCAATCCCCACCACAGCAATAAGGACATATATAAATAACCAACCAACTTCATAACTGTGGAAGGTTCTTTAAAAAGTTGCATTCTCTTCCCTATTTATATTCCTAGACATTGCCTTTTCTTCTCGACTACAGTCTTAGCTTATTCAGTTTGGCAATTGGAAAAACAAAAAAATGATATGAGTAGAGGCTTAAAAAAAGTTGGGCATTAGTGCTTGCTGTCTAGCTGCTTTTTGGTTTTGTTTTATTTTATTTGTTTAACTTGTCTGCTGACCACCCTGAGAAGGATTCTGAGTTAGCTTATTGGAGGAGGAGTGACACATGACTACTTGCTTCCCTAACTGTGTTAGTAAACAGTTCACATTTTATTGTTATGAACAAATACTTGAGTAAAACAACTTAAAGGAAGAAAGATTTATTTTGTCCTACAGTTTCAGAGGTTTCAGTCCACAGTGGGCCTGGTCTATTGCTTTAGGCCTGCAGTGAGGCAGAAATATGGTGGTACAAGGGTATGGCAAAGGAATGGTGCTCACCTTATGGCAGCCAGGAAGCAAAGGAAACAGGCACCAAGGAAGAGGCTGGGAGCCACATGTCCTCCTCAAATTCATAACCCCATGATCTACTCCCTTCAGCTGTGCCCACCTCCTGTTTCCATCACTTCCAAATAGTACCATCAAAGTATGATCTTGTCCATGGGTTAATCCCCATGTTATAGTCTAAACTAAAATATCCCCCAAGAGACTCCTGTGTTTAGAGTATGATTGGATCATGGTAGCACTGTACTCACCAGCAGATTCTCCCATTGATGAGGTCACTAGCTAAATTGGCTGTTAGGAGTGTGGCCTGATTGGAGAGACATTTCCCTTCTCCTCCCCACTGCTCCCGCTCTATGGCTGTCACGGGTTGAGGGTCTTTCTTCCACTGTGGCTTCCACCGTGCTGAGGCAGCCCACTGTGGACCAAAACCATGATCCAAAATAAACCTCTTCCCTTCTAAGTTGTGAGTGTCCTGTATTTTTGTCCGAGACTAAGATGACTTGATAAAGTTAGATCCCTCATGATCCGGTTACTCTACCAAAGCCCACAAGCAACCAAGACTTTAGCACAGGGGTTTTGGGGGACATTTCAAATTCAAACCATAACAGTGAGATCAGCAATCACTGGATGACTTTAAATGTATAAGTAAGCCCTGCTGACACCTCGTGGGACAGAGATGACTCACCTCAGCCAGCCCAAACCGTAATGTCATGAGAAAATAAATTATTATTATTATTTCAAGACAATAACATTTGGAGCCAGGTGTGGTGGTGCACACCTGTAATCCCAGCACTTGGGAGGCTGCAGCAGGAGGATCGTTGTGAGTTCAAGACCAGCCTGGGCTACAAAGTGAGCTCAAAGCCAGCCTGAACTGCATAGTGAGACACTGTCTCAAAAACACACACAAAAAAAGACAATAACATTTGGGATGACTGATTATACAGAAAAAAAAATATCTAATGCTATAAGCGAAACAAAAAAGAAAAACCAAATTGAGAAAGTATTTTCAGCTCATGCCACAAGGGATATAATTCTAATATAAAAATTTCCTTATGTAAATTTCCTTATCATAAAATATAAAAGACCAACAATCCAGTAGAAGAAGTAGCAGTCAATACGAACATGCTATATGTTACAGAGAAAATACAAATAGCTTGTTATACAAAAGCATGTTTGATCTCATTCATAATAACATAAGTTGAAATTAAAACTATATTGAGATTCTATATTAACTTATCAGATTGGCACACATGCCATGTTGGCAAAGCTTTGGGGAAACAGATATTCTCATAGACTGCAATTGGAAGTGTAACCTGATAGCGATCAATTCAATAATAGTTATGATAATTAAAAACACATAAATTGTTTAAGGAGGCTGGGGATTTAGCTCAGTGGCAAAAGTGCCTGCCTGGCAAGCGCAAGGTCGTGAGTTCGGTTCCCGGTACCGGAGAAAAACCAAAAAAAAAAAAAAAAAAAAACATAAATTGTTTAACCCAGTAATTGTATTTCCAAGAGTTTATCTTATGAATATACTACACAACAAAATGATATATGCACAAGGTGATTTACTGAGGTATTGTTTCTAACAGCAAAGGACTGGTAACAATCTACATGTCCATAAAGAAGAGACAAAGAAGTGAATTGTAGCCATGTATATAATAGTATATTATGAAACTATGAAAAAGAATAAAGAAGCTAATGTATGATATGAAAAACCAACCAAGATATGTTTTAAAATGAAGTAAGTTGCAGAAGTTTATACACATTTGAATTTGCTCCTAATGTCAGTAATATGGAGAAGCTCAAAATATAGTTGTCATACACTTGGAAAAATTCATTTGCCCTATATATACCTTATTTCCTTAAATGATATTTCCATCCTTATGGTCAGAAACTTCTTTATTCATCTTTTCAAATGAGAAAAATTGTGCAAAAATCTTAGTCAAAGTTGATGCATAGAAAAGACTCATCATACAGTGATTTTCTTGGGTTCCCTCACAGCATTTCATACGATGCCTTAGCCTTGTACCTGTTCAACAAATGACTGCCATGGAAAACGAGGTTTTGAGGACTCGGGGAGTAGCCCTATAGTAGAGTACTTGTCTAGCATGTTGGAACAGTAGCTTGGCAGCCTTATTTGGTGAAGCAGAATCTACTGCCCTAAACATTTATGAAATATTACAAAAGGTGGACAAATGCTGAAATCCTCTTTTACTGTTTCCACAGTTCCTGAATTGGTAACATTGTATGAATCTTTGGTTAACTTGAGCACTTTCTGTGATTTTCTCTGTCTCCTCTTCTGTCTCCCAATGGTTCATCACAGCTTTTACCCCAAGTTTTCCCCATAATGCCTTTTCCCCCTTACCACACCATTCCATAACTCTACTTCCCCCAAACCAAAACCGAAACAAAATCAAGCTCTCTAGCATCTCAACCTCTTGACATATTCTGAGTTCCAGAGCTTCCTGAGAAGGGGTTGTTAGTATAATCAGGGTCTAATGGGAAAGAGGTTGATAGCAGTTGGTTCTATGGGCTCTGCTTCTAGCTACACCTACAGGAGTTTAAGCAGAGATGGAAAGAGGGAATGTGTGAGAAGAACTGGCATTTTGCTACCCAAGCAGCACCAAAGTTTCCTTAACATGTTCCTGGGATGCAGGGAAGAATGAGGATCATTAACTAGCAGTGGGCCAGAGTGGGCTAAGAACACTCTGAAATACCTCTCAGGCTCTCTGATGGCATCCTTGCATTCGTATCTGTTACCCACACATCATTAGCCACAGAGATAGCATAAATGAGATCACATACCTGTAAAAACCCTCCAATAGTTTTGCATTGCAGCTAGACTATCATGGCTTGTGAGAGTTGCATTCACCGGGTTCCTGCCCACTAAGTCATTCACTGGGGCATCTTATTTCCTCATACCTAGAGAAGGGGAAATGGTTGATTTTAGGATGAAATGAGACAATATGTGTCACCCACAACCACACATACCATCATTATCACCACTCTCAGGACATATGTAGGTTGAAGTTGAATATTAAAAAAAATGATTAAATAGAGCATGTTTTTAGCCATGTGGAGAATGATAGGAATAAGTAACCAGCACTTGAGAAAGAAACAAGTTTCTGGCCTCACTAATCCACTATTCAATAAAAGTTGAACATGAAGTGAATGACAGGCGAGATGAAAACTCAGAATAGTGATAGTGACTCTAGCCTCCAAAATGCGAGCCATAGGGAGCGGCTGGGCAGAGATGTTTAGGAAAACAAAAACATTTCTACTGTCAGTGTCCCTTAAGATCCATCACACAATCACAATAGTTGGGTAGCTTTTCTGCCTGGTCTAATACTAGCTGGACTTAACTATTTGTAATGATATTTGAAAGTGAATGTAATACTACAGTTTTATTCTTCCCAAGTTTCACCTTGAAACTGGACATTATAGAAGACCTTCACAGTCAGGATATTAGGCATCAACAAAATGTCCATATACACTTGGTTCCTTTCAGAACTTATAGGCTGAACTTGAACTACTTGAATTCTCATAATCATCAGTAGAAGATTCAAGTAGGTCTGCTTGCAGCAGAGACTTGTAATCATGTGGTCTACTATTCAGAAACATGAATCCTTTTGTCATTAGTTAAAAGTCATCATATTTAGAATAAATAATAAAGATTTACTTGCTTGAAGCTTCTCCAGGCATGACATCATGCTTTGTGTAATTCTATATATAGCCCTTCTGTAATGCTATTGAACAATGTCATTTCTTATCATGGTTCTGATTCCAGAATGACACTGCAGTGACCATTGTTGACACTCAGTCTTCATCTCAGTCCCTTCTGGTCTCAAGGTAACCCACACATTCCAAGCTAAAGTCTGAGGTTTCCCTTGAACGGTTAAAGGGATGTAGGCCCTTAAGAAATTCTGGGGC